CCCCCATCTCTGTCTCCCCTTCCAAGCCCCCCCCTTCCTAACTGCAGCCTCATTGGGAATAGCCCCCCTCCCCCACCCAGAGCACAGCTTTTTCCTCCTCAGCCCACATCTGGAACCCCACTGCCCAGAGTGCACCCGCCCAAGCTCTCCCTCTTCCATTTGCTGGGACTGCCAGAGGTGATGGTGACTAAGGGGCTGACCCAGAGAAGAGCCCCAGAGGGATGGATGGGGGCATTTCCCAGCTCCCCGGGGGTCCCCCACACCCTAAGGCTTTGGGGGGTTCATGCCCCTGGCCTCACACTGCTGAAAGGATTCTCTTAGGGTTCTAGATCTCAGTGTGGAGCCACTGGAGCCTGGACTCTGGGGTTCTATGCGCAGCTTAGGGAGGGGCGGGGAGCCAGGACTGGGAAGGTCCCAGTTACCCAGTGCTGAGCTCGTGTGTTTTGGCTCAGACTCTGGCCAAGAGGAGCGACCGCCCAGGCTGGTCTGGGGGACGAAGGCCAGAGACCTGCCCAGCACAGTTCCCAGAGCAGAACATGCAGGCTTGATTTCCAAACGGTCAGTGCCAGGGACTCGCCCTGGCTGGGAGGGGTCAGTGGGAGCCAGGGAGGGGTGGGGGACAGCAGGGGGTAATGCCCCACATATGCTGCTCTCTGCCCCCTTCCCACCAGCCCAGCGAGGCTGCTGTCTTCTGGGGGGGTGGGGTGGATGGGGCTGGAGCATGGACCATGCCTGGGGCCTGCTGTCGCCTGGACCCTACCTGACTCCCTGGCCAGCCTGGGGGAGGGGGAGAGAGTTTGTGGACTCTGCCTGTGTCAAGTCTAGGAAGGTCTCAGTCCATCTGCCCCATTGCTGCTGGCAGTGGGGCCTGCTGGCGCCTGGACCCTGCCTGACTCCCTGGCCAGCCTGGGGGAGGGGGAGAGAGTTTGTGGACTCTGCCTGTGTCAAGTCTAGGAAGGTCTCAGTCCATCTGCCCCATTGCTGCTGGCAGCGTGAACCCCTGTGGGGTGGCGGAGGTGGGGTAAACCCCTTGCCCTCACTAATGCCCTGCTCCATCAGCCCCTCCAACTGCCCCCACCCGAGCCAACACCTGGCTTCCTAATAAGGCTGCGCCACAGGGCTGGTGCTGGGGAGGGCGTGCGGGTGATGTGCTGGAATGCGCATGGGCGTGTCCCTGATCAGACACGGGGCGACGAGTGGCGAGAACTCTCTGCTGCACTGGGGGGGCCCCTGGGCTCCTGGTGCTGCTCCCCCTCAGCCCCAGCAGCACCTCAGGACCCTAGGCTGTGAGGAGCAAGCAGGGGCTGGGACAGGCAGAGGTGGCAGGTAGGAATCTGCAGCTGTCATGGGGGGGCCAGGGAGAGGGAGGGAAAGCCAAAGGGAGGAGCAAGGCAGGAAGACAGGGTGCATGTGCATGTTCCCCCACTGCCTGCAGCTTTGCACTGTGGGGCACAGCCCAGACAGCTGGCTCCTTCCCATTCCTGGCACCGAGGAGGGAAATCGAGGCACAAAGGGGTGGAGAAAGCACTCCCCCGAGATGGGTCTCCCATATACCAGCACATGGGGCGTGGAGAGTTCTCGGGAAACAGCCACTCAATTTGAAGCCGCAGTCAAAAAAGCGAAGGGAATGTCAGGAACCACTGGGAGTGGGATAAATAATAAAATGGGAAATACCTTGTGGCCACCATATAAATCCAGGGGACGTCTACACCTGGGAACTGCCTGCAGGTCTGGTCACCCCATCTCAAAGAAGATACTGGGAAAAGTAAAGCAAAGGGCAACAAAAATGCTTTGGGGGATGGCACAGCTTCTGGTTGAGGAGAGATTAAGAATACTGAGACCATTCAGCTTGGAAAAGGGAGGATAGAGGAGGGATATGACAGAGGTCTAACAAATCTTAAATAATGTGGAGAAAGGGACTAGGGAAGTGCTATTTACCCCATTCACATAATACAACCACCCAATGAAATTAATAGGCAGCAGGTTTAAACCCAACCAAAGGAAGTACTTCTCCCCACAGTGGACAGTTAACCTGTGGAACTCCTTGACAGGGGATGTTGTGAAGGCCACAAGTATAACTGAATTTTTTAAAAAAGGATTAGAACAGTTCCAGGAAGACAGGTCCATCAATGTCTATTAGCTAAGATGGGCAGGGATTCAACCGTATGCGTCTGGTGTCTCTGAATCTCTGACTGCCAGAAGCTGAAACTGGACAGGATCACTTACTAATTGCCCTGTTCTGTTCACTCCCTCTGAAGTATCTGGCCATGGCCAGAGTTGGCAGACAGGACACTGGATTAGGCAGACCATTAGTTTGACATAATATGACCATTATTATGTTCTGAAAAGGAGCAATCACATTAGCATGTAGCAGTAGTAGGTTATTACCCTGTATGTATCCAAGCCTTAGGGGGAACCTGACAGCCTCATTGCTGGTGTCAGCCAGGTTTTATGTGAGCATGAGAGGCCCTCTTCCCTGAATGACAGAGGGAACCTGCTGCACCCCCTTCCTGCCTGATGACACCAAACAGAGCCCCTCTTGCTTTCCTGAGGGACATGCACAGAGCAAGCTGTGTGGGACTCAGCAGGCTGCAATCAAAATAGAGACATGAAGGGAGAGAAATAGGCAACAGTGTCCATCACCTGTATGCATCCCCAAAACTTACCCATGGCCACCCTCCACATGCATCTCATCCAGGGGTTCTCAGCAGGTTTGAACCCAGGACCTTAAATCCACACCCAAGCCACTTCCTGATTCTTCCCTAACAACCTCCCTTCAGTGGAGTCATTTTGTTCTCTGCTTTCGTTGCTACCAATTTACCCGGTAGAATCTGCATCACATTCGCTCTCCCCCGACCTGGTTCTGAGGCTTGGAAAGGACAGGTCGCACTCCCCAGCGAGTAGCTCGGAGTGAGGGGCTGACTCCCACCTGTCCCTGATAACTTATAACTGTCTACTTTAGTAGTTTGTTCCAAAACCTCCTCTACTGACACCTCAATCTTGGACCGCTCCCTTGATTTGTCACCTAAAAAGATGGCTCAGGGCTGGGAATCTCCCGCACGTCCTTTGCAATGAAGGTGGAGGCAAAGGATTTGTCTCTGCAACCGCCTGGTGTTCCCTGAGAGCCCCCTTGGCACTTCCATCCACCAGTGGCCCCACTGATTGTGGGACAGGTGTCCTGCGTCTGCTGGGATGGCAGTGGTGACAGGCTGGACGATGGTGGTGGAAGGCCTGGGGTTCAGAGCTTGCTGTGACCCATGCTGGAGTGGGTTTGTGTGTTTCCTGGTGGGGCTGGGGAGGGGGGTCCCTCACTCTGTGCTGCAGGTGGGGTGCCCAGGGCCTGCTTATCCATGGCTCTCACTCCAGAAATGCTCTGCCTGTCCCTAGAACATCTCCCCCTGCCATGCCCCACATCTCCCCCCGCCATGCCCCTCCTCTCCCCCCGCAATGCCCCACACAGCTACAAGGGCTTGCGCATGTGCGATCTCCTCTGGGGACAGATGCCCGGGCAGGCGCGAGCCTCCAGTTCTCCTGAATTCCAAGCATCCCCATGCAGGGACGAATCTGTCTGAACTCGCTAGGCCAACGTGCAATCCCCCTAGGCCCTGTGGGAGCCGTTAATGCTTAACCGGTTCAGAAAGAGGGACGCTTTGGAGAGATCTGCTGGGGGGGGGAGCAGGGGGAGGAGTCCATGACCTAGAGCAGAGGCAGGCTCTGGAATGAATCCTGCGGGAGGGGCAGGCTAGTCATTTCCCTGCCCCAGCCTGCAGGAGGTGCTGTAAGGAGTGCGTATGAGAATGGGGGAGGGGCAAAGTGGGGATGGACAAGAGGTGATTCCAGCTGGTAGGGGGGCAGCCTGGTCCCACCTCCTTGCACATTTACAGCAGAGCAGAGGGGGCCCTGCCGCCATTTGGCTGTAGTGGCCTCAGGCCAGTGAGATCCAGAGGGGACACAGATTCCTCCAGCTCTGGGTATCTCACACGAGACGGAAGCCAGGTTTTAATCGATTAGCCGCCCCAAATGTCAGTTCGTGCAGCCAAGGTCGCCCAGCAATTCCCTGTGCCTTCCCCCAACATGGCGAGCACCTAACCCTACCCCTCTGAAGCCCAGGCATGATGAGTTACGGTCCCTGCCACCCTGCCGCATGGCTTCACTTCTTCCCCCATGGGCCTCGGACAGGCTCAGCGCAGGCAGCGTAACCCGACATGCAAGCCTGTAAAGACTTGATACCTAACCAGCACAGAAAGGACGTCTCCTTTCCCAGTATGGCTACGTCCCGCAAGGGCCAGACTAAGGGGTGGGTTAGCTGGGCACCTGCCCAAGGCACCAACCTGTGGGGGCTGCAGCGGCCGTCCGGGGCAGAGGCCGTGTTAACCCCCGCAGCACCGGCCAGCAGCACCCTTCCCCCCGCGGCTGCAGGGCCCTGCCTGGCCAGGTGCAGCCCACCCCGGGTGGCCCCAGGCCGTGCACCATCGACAGTGGCCAGGCCGACTGGGCAGCACATGCGTCAGCCCACGCACCTCGGGGGTGGGCCCGTGCATGCGCCATGCACCTGGAGGCAGGGCCGTGCACCCCAGGGGCAGCGCTGTGCACCTGAGGCCCAGGGCGCCAAAATGGCTCGGGCCGGCCCTGGAGCCACAGACGTGGGGCAGGGCCTGGCCAAATGCAGCCTGCGCTCGTGTATGCAGGCTGGGTTATTATTGTTGGAGAGGCGTAGGCGGGGTTGCCTCCAAAACCGGAGAAAGGCCTAGACCCGCATCCCAGAACATGTCCAAGGGGGAAAAAAAGGTAGTGAACTGGCTTTGGGCTCTGGGTGTGGCCCAGTCCTGCCTCCCCGGAAGATGCTTAGTCAAACCCAGTTTAGGCTCGGCCCAGGGGAAAGTTGCTGAAATTATCTGGCCTGCAATATCCAGGTCAAACTCCCTGATCCTGTCCCTCCCCACTCCCAGCCCCACAGTTTCTGACTCTCCAACAAGCAGGAACACCGCCGCCGTGTTCCACGGAGCTGCACGGCCACCTCCCACTGCACACGTTCCGCCCGCCTGCGCTGCGCTGCGGGAGCCAAGGAGAGGTGTGTGCGTGCCGCGAGGGGTCACGGCCCTCCCTTCCCAGGGCACTGCATGCTGCAGCAGAGGTGTGAGGGGTCTTGCCCTGCATTGCAGCGAGGGCTCCCAGGGGGCTGAGGATCCTTCACAGGCCTGGGGTGAACCCTGGGGGCAGGGGCAGCAGCTCCCCTTTCTATTCCTGCCCCTACAGGGGGAAACAGAACCAGGGCACCCCCTACAGTCAGGTCACAGCGCTGCAGGAGTTCTCCCACTGCAGCCCCTGCGTCAGTGCCCAGTCATAGAGCTGAAGGCCAGAAGAGCCCCACCAGGTCATAAAGTCCAACCTCCCAGCACCGGTCCCCAACCCAACAGCCCACGGGCTGCTAGACTGTTGTGTGCCATGGGCAGAGAACAGGGGGGATCCAGCATCCGAGTATTTCCCCCACTTCAGTGGCCAGCTCATCTTTCCAGTGCAGAAGAGTCCAATTGAAAGTCAAGCCACCGGAAGGTTACTGGGCCTCACCTGGGCTTCCTCGGAGCTCGGCTTTGCCCTGGCTGCTTAGCACTGCTTCCTCCAGGCCAAATCCCCACTGCCTCCCCCAGGGACCCCTGGCTTCCAATAGAGCCTGCCCTCAGCAGCATGGGCCGGTCTGCCTGCTGGCGCTAGCTCCTGGATCACTCCACTGCTCATAGTCCTTTTTATAAGGCCCAGGAGTTCCTCAGGCTAACACCAGACTTTATTAGTCAGCCAGGAGGCAGGTTATTTTCGCACCGGTGCAGCTGCCAAGGGGCTGTGATACTGGCCAACATCCACTGAGGCCTTAGCAAAGAGCCAGTGTTAGGCTTTCCCCTGCATCGCTCACAGGCGATGCTCCCACAGGGCTCTGTAACAGGCTAGTCTGGGCAAAGGGCAGAGTTAAGGTGATGTTGCAAGTCTAGTGTGGCCCTTAACTCTGTATTTCATGGATTTACATTTAGCCACGTGCCACATTCTGGAAAGGCTGCGTCGGTGGCAGCATTACATAAGAACGGCCACACTGGGTCAGACCAATGGTCCATATAGCCCAGTATCCGGTCTGCCTACAGTGGCCAATACCAGATTCCCCAGAGGGAGGGAATGCAGCAGGTAATTCTCATGTGATCCCTCCCCTGTCACCCATTTCCAGACAAACAGAGGCTAGGGACACCATTCCTACCCATCCTGGCTAATAGCCATTGATGGACCTAACCTCCATGAATCTATCTAGCTCTTTTTTGAACCCTGGTAAAGTCCTAGCCTTCACCATATCCTCTGGCAAGGAGTTCCACAGATTAACTGTGCGCTGAGCGAAGAAAAACTTTTGTTTGTTTGTTTGTTTTAAACCCGCTGCCTATTGGGCAACCTTAAGTCTGCACTGAGAAAGTATTTGAGCATTTATTTTTCATACTTTTGAAACATTAAATCTCACCCCATCCCACTGGCCAGCTCTTCCCTCCCACTGCCTCCGGCACCTAGGCAACAGTTGTTCCAGCCATGAAGGCCCTGCAATGTCTCCACACCCTGCCTGTCCAGGATAGCCCCCCACCCCCTCCACACTATGGAGAGGGACCTGCCAGTCCAGCCACTGAGGAAAAGGAGCAGCGATTAGCATGGAGTGGGAGGGGGGGATGTTTTTGAGGGGTGGGGCCAGTGAGATAGGGCAGCGTGAAAGGCAAGCTAATCTAGGAGGTGAGACACTTAACATAGCACAGGGAAGACCTGGTTCAAGTCTCAGGTTGTCCATAGTACCGCCAGGATGAGGTTACACTGGAAGTAATACTTTTCCAAAACAGCATGTGCTAAACCAGCCCCCGCCTCCTGAGATAAAGGTGCCGTCCCTGAGGGTATGTCTACACTACCCCGCTAGTTTGAACTAGGAGGGTAGTGTAGACATACCCTGAGTGCCCCTGGTGGGGCAAAGTCCTACCTGACCCTATACTGCTGTAAGGCTAGGGGGCAGGGTCTGTATTCACGAATGCCGTGAATAGCACTAGAAGGAATCTGACCCTACCCTTAAACCATCACCCCCCACACCTGTAACAACCAACGGTTTGGGGGAGGGGCTGCTGGGTCCCAGGCCACCCCACCCAAACCCATCTGGGGGCTCGGCCTGTGCAGCACCTTATGCTGGGGGGGCCTTAGCTGAGGGCCCCCGTGTTTGGAGGGGTGGGGGGAGCAGTGCTGTGTGAGGATGCTGGAGGAGGAGGATGGGGGGTGTCTATGAGGCTAAAGAGAGTGGGGCCCCTGGTGGGGGAGTTCTCAGAAGGTCCTGGGAAGTGGAGTTTCCTGTACAGGAGGAAATGAGGGTCGCTGGGGGGCGGGGGGCTCAGCCCCAGGGCTTTGTCTGCCATTTAATGGAATGTAGACATGCCCCTCTCTGGGCACAGGAGAAGAAAGGGCCATTTCAAGGCAGTAAAGGGATTGAGCGGGGCTAATCCATCCCGCGCATGACTGACCGCAGGGAAACGCACGGTGTTGGGGATTAGGCCTGGGGGGGCTGGAGGCCGCTGAAGAGCCGGGCCTGCGTGCTGCTCATTTCACAGCCAACTAACGCCACGTGGCCCGGAGCTCCTGGCACCTCCTAGAGACAAGCGTGGGGATGGGAGGGGGCACAGAGCAACGGCTCTGGGTGCAGGGCTTGGGGAGGGGGCACAATTGGTGTCTGAGCCCCTGGACCATTGCTGGGGGAGATAGCCACAAACTCCTCCATCAAATAATCCATTGCCACAGAGCCCTGCCAGCCACTGTCTATACTTCCCATACAGGCCCCTACTGACCTTATCCACTGCCCCACACTGCCTTAGTCACCCCCACACGCCTGCCAGTCTCAGCCTCCCCCTGCACTCCCTTAACTGCCACAGCCACCCCCACACACCTACCAGTTCCATCCACCACCTCACACCAGTGTTCTCTTTTCCATCCATGTGCAGAATAACTGTTGTTATGTGCACCAAGTCATGTGTGAATGAACACCACCAGGAGAAACACAAACCTGGCTGTGGGTACTGTGCTAATTAGCTGGGCAGCATTGGGATTTCTCCTGAGTGTCTGCATAAGCATTCAGCTTACAGGGAACACTGCCCCACACCCCCTTCCTCACACCAGTGTTCTCTTTTCCATCCATGTGCAGAATAACTGTTGTTATGTGCACCAAGTCATGTGTGAATGAACACCACCAGGAGAAACACAAACCTGGCTGTGGGTACTGTGCTAATTAGCTGGGCAGCATTGGGATTTCTCCTGAGTGTCTGCATAAGCATTCAGCTTACAGGGAACACTGCCCCACACCCCCTTACCTTCTTCATCCTCCTCCTCACCTACCTCAACCTTCCCCCCACCCTCATCCATCCCCACCCATCTCTTCCGTTCACCCTTACACCCATCATGGGCTTGCTCCATCGACCCCCGCCCCTCTCCTCTTGCCCATAGGGCCTATGCCGGCCCGGACCCCTGCCCTCTGTGTGTGGGGGGAGGGTTGCCCCCTGGGCGCTCTCACTGCGGGGGAGCCGGGGGGCGCTTTCCCCCGGTGGTGAATCCCACCCTGGCAGCCCCTTCCTCCCCGCAGCCCCCCATCACCGGCCTGGCACCGGCATGCCCCATGGCAATAGCCAAGCCAGCAGCAGCCCCTGCTGGACAGACATGGAACAGCACCCTTCTGGCCCATTGCAGAGGCTGGTCATAAAAAGGTGTGTGAGAGAGAGAGAGAGCGATAAAAGGGTGTGTGTGTGTCTGTGTGTGAGAGAGAAAAGGTGTGTGTGTGAGTGTGTGTGAGATAGAGAGAGAGAGAGCGATAAAAGTGTGTGTGTGTGTGTGTGTGTGAGAGAGAGAGAGAGAGAGCATGCCCCATGGCAATAGCCAAGCCAGCAGCAGCCCCTGCTGGACAGACATGGAACAGCACCCTTCTGGCCCATTGCAGAGGCTGGTCATAAAAAGGTGTGAGAGAGAGAGAGAGAGAGAGAAAGGTGTGTGTGTGTGTGTGTGTAATCGGCTGATCATAAAAGATTGTGTGTGTGTGTGTGTGTGTGAGAGAGAGAGAGAGAAAGGTGTGTGTGTGTGTGTGTGTAATCGGCTGATCATAAAAGATTGTGTGTGTGTGTGTGTGTGTGAGAGAGAGAGAGAGAAAGGTGTGTGTGTGTGTGTGTGTAATCGGCTGATCATAAAAGATTGTGTGTGTGTGTGTGTGTGTGAGAGAGAGAGAG